ATTGAAGAATTATGATATTACCATCCTCTATCACCCGGACAAGGCAAATGTGGTCGCGGATGCCTTGAGCAGAAGGGCCGAGAATAAGGGTAGTTTGGCGTTCATTTCAGCAGAGGAGAGGCCATTGGCATTGGACATTCATTCCTTAGCCAACCGACTTGTGAGGTTGGATATTTCAGAACCCAGTCGGGTTCTTGCATGTGTTGTGGCTCAGTTTTCTTTATTCGAGCGAATCAAGGCTCGCTAGTATGACGATGTGCACTTGCTAGTTCTTAGGGAGACGGTTCTACAAGGTGGTGCCAAGGAGTTTATTATTGGAGATGATGGTGTTCTGCGACTCCAGGGTCGCTTATGTGTTCCTACTATTGATGGCCTGAGGGAGATGATTCTAGAAGAGGCGCACAGTTCGCGTTATTCTATTCATCCAGGTGCCACGAAGATGTATCATGACCTAAGGCAGCATTACTGGTGGCGGCGAATGAAGAAAGATATAGCTGAGTATGTGGCGATGTGTTTATATTTTCATAAGATTAAGTACGAGCACCAGAGTCCAGGTGGCTTACTTTAGCAGATGGTTATACCGGAGAGAAAGTGGGAGATAACATCAGTCTAGCATTGAGATAGCTCCATTTAAGGCCTTGTATGGTCGACGATGTCGTTCGCCTATCGGATTGTTTGAGTCAGGCAAGGCTAGATTATATGGAACTGATTTGGTAACGGATGTCTAGGATAGGGTAAAGTTGATTCAGGAGTGACTTCGCACAACTCATTCCATCTAGAAGAGTTACACGGATCAGAAAGCACGTGATTTGTCATTTATGGTGGGCGAGAACAGTTTTTTGAAGGTCTCACCGATGAAGGGTATTTAAGGGTATCATGAGGTTCGGAAAAAGGGGCAAGATGAGTCCGAGGTTTATTGGTCCATTCAAGGTGTTGGAGAGAGTTGGAGAGGTTGCATACAAGATTTCTTTGTCTCCTAGTCTATCGGGAGTTCATCCGGTATTCCATGTGTCTATGCTTCGGAGGTACCATGCCGACAGGTTCCACGTGTTGGATTAAAGAACGGTTTAAATAGATGATAGCTTGGGTTATGAGGAGGATCCAGTTGCTATTATGTACATGCAGGTCCGCAAGTTGAGGTCTAAGAAGATTTCAGCGGTGAAGGTCCAGTGGAGGGGTCAACCAGTCGAGGAGGCGACTTGGGAAACCGAGGAGGACATGCGGGTAGATATCCACACTTATTCGACACTTCATGATTCTGAACCCGTTTGAGGACGAACGTTTATTCAAGAGGTGGAGAATGCTACGATCCAATCAGTTATTTTGCTTTCTAGATCCACGTACCCCTATTTAAGACCTCCTATATGTGCCTTTCTAGTTTTACGACTTGCGGGGCAGTTGATTTGGTTTTGGAAGGGTTCGATTTAAATTGGGAACAAGTTATATATTTGAGTTCGTAATGTCCTGGGTAATATTTATCTTCGAAATTTTTTGAATCCGGGCACGTGGGCCTAGTATTGACTTTTGTTGACTTTTCGAGCGGGGTTGAAAAATTACTCTAGTAGATAAATTATGAACGTTTGAGCATATATTGATTGGTTTGTATGACCTTTGACTAGTTTTTAGTGAGGTTTGAGAGTCGAGTAGTAAGCTTGGATGCGAGGTAAGTCTCTTACCTAATCTTATAAGAGGGAATTATCCCCGTAGGCACTTTAATTGTTGTGGGCGTTACGTACATACGACGTGACGAGAGTCCATGCGTAGCTAGATTCATGCTTATGTCTGAGTAGAATTAAATCCACACCATGCCTTAAATGCGCTATGTGACTTCAACTTGTTTGTTTAATTATTTGAATTTATGACTAAGAGTGAGACAAGAATAAATCAACTGACTGAGCATCTTACTTGGGATTCTTGTGAAATAATTGACGAGTGGTTGTCTTGTATCTTCTCGGCTCGCATGTATCTTGGCGAGTGAGAGAGTTTTACTACTCTTATGAGATCGGACCGTTCGGCCCGGCAGGATTGTAATACTACTCTTATGGGATTGGTCCATTCGCCTCGGCAGTATCGTAAGCTACTCTTATGAGATCGGGTCGTTCGCCTCGGCAGACTCGTGCGTAACACTTGAGTTTTGATTTGGTATTGGTACCAATTGATCTTGTGTCTTCGAGGCATGTTATGGCATTTAGTGACTTCTTAATAATTCATGTTTGGAAAATTTATCATTGGCGTTTATCTGCCTCGTTGCTATTCCATATATGTCTACTTTATGCACTTATTTATTTGACCGCTAGTAAGTGCCAAAGTCGATTCCTCGTCACTATTTTTTCGAGGGTAGACTTGATACTTACTGGGTACGCGTTGATTTACGTACTCATACTACACTTCTGCACTAATTGTGCAAGTACTGAGATAGGCACTTCAAGTGGTCATACGGGCGCGTAGACACAGTACACGGGAACTTAGTGGTGAGTTGCCTTCCATGGTTTGATCTGCAGCACCCGAAGTCTCCTCCTTATCATATTTATTATTTGTCTATTTTATTCCAGGAAGTAGCTGTAATGTATGGTATATTCTACTAGATTGCTCATGCACTTGTGACACCGGATTTTGAGAGTTTCTAGTGGATGTTCACAGTTGAACCTAATATTGTTATCATTTTGCTTTATGTAGTATTCATACTTGACGATTTGGTAAAGAAGAACGTATGTTTCTATGAATTCCAGATTTAATTCTATTTATTGATGAAATTCTTCATTTTAAAAGTTAAAATGAATAATTAATTTGGCGGCACAAGCGTTGGCTTGCCTAATAGCATCGTTGGGCACCATCACGATTTATTATGGGATTTGGTCGTGACAACCATTACCTCACTTTATGTTCAATTGAGGATCTTGAATTAAGGAAGTGTTTTTCTAAGAGAAAGAGAATCAAGCCAAGTGATTCCCAACCTTTCTTCTCACACAAAAACATAATGTAGGATGAATCAAATCAATAGAAATAAATAGTACCAGATACAACTCAGTTAGAGCACAAAGACAAACAGAGGAGGAAATGGATAGATAAAGGAGGGGGTATGTCTGAGGGCACCAACTGTACCTATTCATTTAAAAATAGAGTAAAAACAAAGGCTAAAACAGAGTAATCTTAAAAAAAATTCACATGGAATCATGTGAGGTTTTTTATTTAAAAAATAGTGAGTGGTGTGTCACTTTGTTATGTGATGCTTCTTGGCTTCTCAACTAGTGAAAAGTGGTGAGGTATTTTGTGTATGGAGGCCATGTGAAACTGCAGCTTCCTTGTCACTTTTCATCTTTCCCAATTATTAGAGAGAGAATTGAAGTTAAACTTTAATATCTTTTCCTTCTCAATTTTAATGATAATCCATATAATGAGTTCTTTTTTTTCAGACCGTTTACAAAAAGATTGATATTTTTTTAAGTTTTTTTTTTTATAATTTTTACAGATTTCATTTTTATTTTATTGACATGCACCTATAATAATATGACATATTAAAATACTTTTGATAAGTTATTAAACCTGTGCCAGCCAAAACATCGTCATAAAAAAGAAACGAATGGAAATATTATTTAAAAAAAAATAGGTGACCTTTTTGATATCTTAAAAATATTTAGAATGGTAATCGATTTATGGTTAATAGTAAGTTTAATGCACTTTATACATATATAAATTTTATTTTCAATAAATACATTAATGTTCAAAATCGTACCGAAGATTGAATACTTTGACCGTCTTACTACAAATTTTTATGAATTTGGCTACGTATCCAACCTGTATATGTCAAAAGATGTGTAACTAGAAGTAGAACAAGTAAGAAGTGAATAGCACATGATAGTTACAAAATTGAATATAGTTCATGATTTTGTTATCAATATATATTTGCGTACTTATTCGATATTAACATTCGGTGATCTAATCTGTTTAGAAAAACTAAATTATTTAAAGATGAATTCTCAATGATTTGATGATGGATGAGTTTAAGTGAATAGGTGTATTCACATGTGGTTATGTGTCACCAATTGTACCCAAAAGTCTAAAAAAAAAAAAAAAAAATTCAAAATCACAGTGGCTAAGCATGTGGCACATGCTTGGTTAATGGACACACTCAGTTACATGTTACATCCCTTCAAAAAGATTAGGAAAAGAAATTAAAGAAACGTCAAGACGATGTGCAAATTTAGTAGTACCTCTCACGTCTAAGAGAATGCATGGCTGCAAGGAAGGTTAATACATGTAATATATTCTGTGACATAGAATATTGTTCTTTAAGTTTCTATATAGTTAGAAAATGTGTGAAATATTACATTTTGAAGTTAAAATTATTAAGAAGTATTGAAAAGTTTAGTTAAAGAAAAATGCTTGATCCTTATTAGATTTAGAGAGAGAGAGAGAAAATGTGCGTGCATTCGAAGAACTTAGCAAAGCAAAAGAGAATTAAATTGACAGAGAATTAAGGCTTTATTAATTATGATCACATAAAGCAAATCAAACTGCACTACAATTCTTAACTAGTTCGAATCAGTTAAAAATAATTTCATTTTTCAATTCATTCTGTTCAGACTGTTAAATGTTGAAAAGACATCTATCTGCTTTTTGATATAACCCGTAAAACACACTGAAAAATTCCCTAACAACATCGTTCAAGAGTTTTTTCGAGGCATCACAGTACCACCATTAATTGGAATTCACAGTTCCAGTCAACAAGCAAATACAGAAAGCTTTAGTTTTTTATTTCTATTTAATATATAATATTAACATGCGATGAATTTAATTTTTTTATGATATATACTACTGTCTTGAATTGAGTTTAAATGACAAAATATAATTAATGAGAATTCATATAATTGACCCAACTTAGGTGATGTTATTGAGTCAGCAATATTAGTATATGCATTTTCTTTGGTTCCTTTCTTCTCAACTTCACCAGGTTGAGACTTTCAATGGATCCCATAAATTTAAACTAGCCATAAAAGAACTTGGAAAATCAAAGCATTCATTAAGCAACCTTTCATGAGATACACATTTGACAAATGGGAAAATAAAACATTCCCATCATAGTTCATTACTCAAGGAAAAAAAAGATTCAAATCAATTATGTTCAGTTTACAAGTAAATAACCTGACAAACAATTGACTTTTCCATGTTGCCTTACTAAAATATATGTAAAGCAACAATATCCTGAAAATGAGATTCCTAATAAAATCACCTCATATTCAGGATTTACACCGAGGCAGATTCACAATGTCTCATACTTCTCACCGTCAAAAGCTTGAGAACGCGATCAACTACAATGCTTTAAAACACGAGGTGAGTAGCGCAAAGGAAACAAACTATAGTACTAATTGCCTGGAGTGACCGAATTGCCTTGGGCCCTAAAAATCACCCAGACAGTATAACTTTACACAGGCTACTAGTCCTTCAACAAAAAAATGACCAAGGACTGACACATGGACCATGTAATTTGATTAGCCACATCTTAGACGACACAACCTAATCTATATGCTTGTTATTCTCAGGACCAACCCCCATTACCCTGTGACACATGGCTTCAGGGAGCAGCTAAATGGCCGGGGGCTTGGAAGTCTATAATCCCAAAATGAATGCATGTATCTCAGACCAACTGGAGACAGTGTAAAGAATGCCAGACATTCCCTTCAAACCACCTTCAGCTAGTTCCCTCTGTTTTGTTACCAAACCGGAGAACAATGGAACAAAAGAAATACCGAATTGTTCACCTAGTCTTCTAAGGCCAGCACTCAGACCAATCACAATCCCCACATCTGCATTGAGCAGGCAAAGCAAGTCACCGACGGAGCCTCCAACATACACTGTAGTATGTTTGCCATTAATGTCACGGGACTTCAGGATGTCATTAAAGGCTTGAAGCTTGTCCATAGGAGATTCCATCTTCTTAATCATGTCACCAGTGGTAACAGATCCTTCATAAGGTAACTCATTTGAGTGCACATTTAACACTGGTAAGACCCCTGCTGATGGAAAATGGAAGACGATGTCAACCAATAGCTTCTAAGTTAAACCAAATCAATCTATATCCGACCGAGAAAATTTCTAGATATCACAGTTTTGCTTTGAGAGCAGGAGACCGCAAGAAATATCCACATCACAGCCTAGTTCCATTACAAGTTCTTTGTTTATCTCATTAGTGCTCACATCTGCTCAATTTGATTAAATCATAGCATACCGGACATGAATTATGAACTAACCAAGCCATTCTTATATCCCTGCGTGCATTTTGTACAATTTTTGGGTTGGTACGAAAGATGAAGTTATATTTTCCTGCTTGGATCACATTCAGCCCATTAATATGTTATGAACTGGAGACGTTTTCCTTGCTTTGTGTTGTGCAGCAATGTATATCTTTCAAGATAACGAGTTAATGGAGTGCAAAGGTACTTGCTAGCTGTTTTTGGTTATCAACCTTAGAAGATGCCTAATAGTCTCTACTTGTAAACTTTCTCCTTCAATGATATGGCTAATTGTCTTCTCTAGCAAACTCTCTATCTTCATTGGAATCTCGCACAGGCTTATCTTAAAGTAGTAAACTTGAGATATCCACTCTTCACCCCTCAAAAGCTTTAATGAGTATGCGTTTTTATGAGATGATGCCTGATATGAAAATATAGAACTCAATGAAGTACAAGATTTGACAATGAGCTGAAACAAGCATACCTGATGAAAAAGCTGATCTGATGAGATCTCCGGACCAACAGTATGACAGTACATGAACATCTGCATGCAAGTTTTCACTTCTAAGTATTTCTTGAAAAATGTTTTTGCAACCATTTTGAAAGATGAGGCGTTCCCCAGCCCGTTTTATGTCTTCCTGACTCAACCCTCTTAATACACCAGAATGAACCACCATATCATTTGCTCTCCTTTCAAAATCAGACAGCTGCTCTAGTGCTTTACACAGACCCTCATAATCAAATCTCCCAACTGCCATGAATTTGGAAATATCTTAGGGCTTCTCATTGTCGTGATACACAGAGGTATCTATTAAAAGAATAGACGAAGATTACATACCTGTTTCACTAGGTATGATGCTTTCTATGCATTGCTCGTATTCCTCAATATACTTGCTGGAAAGATTGCTCCAAGTGGCCCGAAGATCAGCTGCAGAAACACGAGGGTACAGGGTTTCACAATCATCTAGATCACTCTTTGCTGCTGCTATGATGGCAACATCAGCCAAAAGGGCAGATGAATCAACAGCACTGCACGTCATGTCAAAATCACAAAACATTGTAAGATTGCATCCTGCTGGTTCTTGGACTTGAGAAATGGGGGTTACAGTGGACTGGGTAATTGGCTGAGCAGAGATAAATTCCAATTCAAGTTTCATAGCTTGGTGATACAGCCTTTCCACAACATCAAGTTCTTCGCCAGTCAAACAAACACTTAGTTTATCCAGTAGGTCCTCAATCCTTGAAGCATATGCCTAAGCACAGAACCATTACAAGGGAACGGTTAGACAAATTTCAGCTACAGAATACTCTTTGTATTTTGATAAGAAATTCCTACCAAAATGAAAAATAATGCATTGCTCAAAAACCACACACACCTCAAAACTTTCTGAACATAGACAGTCAATCCATCTCTCATAGATGTTATTGTTCTCTTCAGGGACCAAAACAGACTTAATCTCCTTGCTAAGAAAGCTGTAAAGCCTCATACAGGGTGCAATTGCACTAAGTGCATAAGCCGCAAGCCTTGTCTTCTCAAAAGGGGTCACAATTTTACCGGTAAACTTTTCCCCTTCAACTTTTCCTGCTGCTGTGGCCAGCAAAAAGTCAGTGTATCTAACTGTGGCACTGTCACAAGTGCTATTATTTGGAAGTTCAAAGCCCCATTCCTGCATTATGATGTATCTGTTAAAAGCTGTAGAATCGACATCGCTGATAAATAATACTAATAACATGGACACCTCTAAATGCTGATACGGTTAATGAAAGAACAGCTGCTCTTTGGACTTTGTCCTTCCTTATAAAGAGATTCTAGATCGGTTGAAGAGGTTCGGAGAAGTGAGCACAAGCCCATTAAATCGCTGGACTCTCATCTTGCTCTTTTGTTGTATTACACTTCACAACTTATGGGCATATTTACGAGTAAAATTCTGACTCTAAAATTCTTTTAGCAGTACAAAATTTGCACTACTATAACCTACTAGATCAACTATTTATCCAGTAAATTTCACGGTCCATTACACTACCCTTTTCAATTAGGGTAGGACAAGAGATAAGATTTGGGGGTTTGGGGGGGCACCAGCAGAGGTAGGTAACTCTACACACCAAGACTTAGGCACATGAGAAAAAATCACATAATCTTTTATGTCTCTGCTCGGATTCGAACCCTGATCTCAAAGGTTTTCACTTGTTTTATTGACCACTGGGCTACAACATTTGGATGCATCTCAATCTTTCGCCTTTCCTCAATCAGGAGATGAAAAAAATGAAACCGAAATTATATACTCCCTCCTTTTTAATTTATGTGAACCTAATTGACTAGGCATGGGGTTTAAGAAAAGAGAGGGTTTAAGAAAAGAGAGAAGACTTTTGAACTTGTGGTGTAAAATGAGGCTCATATATTTTGTGTGGTTATAAATCATTGCATAAAGGTAAATTATTTTCCAAATACGGAAAGAGGTAATTCTTTTTGGCATGGACTAAAAAGGAAATAAGTTCACATAAATTGAAACATAAATTGAAACCGGGAGAGTATGTGATATTAGTCACTCAGACCTTGAGTTAGAGAAAATTTGTGCGTGATCCTCTAGCAATTAACCAAATAGTGTTACATCTATTTATGAAACTGAATTACCAATTCATATTAATTTCCCAAGTTAAAAATACAACAAGAGCTACATGCTTTTAGATGGTTAACCTGAATTTCTATATGAACAATCAACCGATTACACCTCAATCACAAACTAGTTGGACCAACTATATATAAACCTTAAGCATCCACCTGTTCTATTCGCGCCTATCTATTGGCCTTTTAAGACAAATTGGGGGTTCTCGAAAACTAAAAGTTGTCCAAAAGCCACACTTATTCCTATGCTAATATACAAGTCTCAAGTCAGACTAACAAGACTATGTTATAACAACCACTACACCTTAATCCAGACTAGTTAAGAACATCATTTTCTTCCATTTTGATTTACTCTATCAATTCATATGAACATAGACAGAAAAAACCAGAAATTTCAGGTGTAGCTTACCCGCACAAGATCATCTTGATCTTTAAGCTTCCTCAAAACACGCTTTCTCAATTCACGGATAGCTTCCTTGTCTTCGTCGTCATCCGCAAAATCCTCCGCCATCTCATAACTGCCAAAAGCAAACGGTTAATCAATAGATTCAATAGAACTCCTCATGGATTTATCTTTTTTATAACTATATGTATATTGAGGAATAAAAAAAGTGGGGGCTTACGCCTTAGCAAAAGCTTGAAGGAAATAGACATCTTGAGAAATACAGTGAAGAAATGATTTAGAATCCAAAGTCCCAGATGCCAAACACACAATAAAAGGAGTATAAAGAGCACAAAGTGATTCGTTCTTGAACTTGACCCAAAGCCTCTTTGCTATCCCACCATCATCTGGGGTTGCTTGAAATCCTTCCATATCAAATCTTAGCTTCTAACCAAAAGTAGCAATACTTATTTGCTAAAAAAGATGTGAACTTTGTAAACAACTTTGACCCGTCAGTTCAGATTTATCTAAACACCTATGTTTATGGAATGTAACTTAGTCAAGATTTTGGGTCGAAAAGGGCGTGTAAGAGACGTGAGAAAAGTGGGCGTTTTTATAGATATTGGGTCTCACCACAAATGGGAATGCGCGTTTGTGTAGTGAGAAAGAGTAAAGGAAGGGGACTAAGTCCGAGTAGGTCACTCACGGATTAATGGGTAAATTCAATTCAAAGGTCGACTCCTTTGACAAAAGAAAGAACAAGTGTAGAGATGAAGAAGAAGGAGAGGAGGAGAAGAACCGTGACGTGTTGGAGAAAGCAAGGAATGAAAGAAGGGGGTGGGTGGGTGTTGGGACAAAGGGATTAATTGGGACAGCTAACGGCGCGCTAAATGCGGTGTCAAGTTGCAGAGTAATACGGAATACCTAATACTGTACTTTCATTGAAGCTGCCAACCCCTTCCTTCATCCAATAGAATGATGTTTTCACACAAATCAAATCATTCATTATTGTTAATCTCAAATAAAAGAAAAAAAAAATAATGTTACAAAACTTAGCTCAAAGTAATAATAGAAAACAAAAAGATAGACAACAATGTAGAGAGAAAGAGAGAAGAGAATCTATTTCTTTCATGTATTCAAGTGTATTACAAAATGACTTCTCATCCTCTATTTATAGTACTACATAGAGGTATACCAAAAGAATTCCATAAATATGTCATTAAGCTTTTGAGATCATGGAGGAAGATCATGGGGGAGATCATGGAGGTATGGGAGTTACAACCATAAGTATTGGAGTAGTGAGAGTTATGGAGATAATGGATAAGAGTAGTGGGTGTTATAGGAGTTATGGACATCCACCATAATCTAATGTTTCATAACACTCCCCCTTGAATGTCCATAGATAATGTGCCTCGTTAAAACCTTACTAAAAAAAACCCGGTGGGAAAAATCTTAGTGAAGAAAAAAGAGTACACATATCTTGTAATACGCATTATTTGCTGCCTCATTAAAAACCTTGCAAGAAAAACCCAGTGGGATAAAATCTTAGCTAAGGGAAAAAGAGTACGGCGCGTATTTGCCTCCCCCTGATGAAAACATCACTTTATTCTTCGGAGACGACGAATTCCAAGCTTGTATAACAACTTCTCTAATATTGAGATCCGCAATGTCTTGTGAAGAAGTTTGTCAAATTATCACTTGAACAAATTTGTTGAAGAACTTTGGTGAATGTGCTTTATTTTGTCTCCTTCGATAGTCCTTCTTTCAATTGATATAAGCAAACAACATTATCTTCAGTATTATTGGAATCTTCTCTTCAAAGTCAAGTCACATGTATGTTGTGTGTTGAGCCCCTTGCTTTATCAGTTGCTTATCTTGGCATAACTTGAATAAATATCAACAATTAACTGCCTTGTAATATGATAATATGGCAGTACTCTCACATGCAAATAGAATGTTTGAAGAACGAACTTCAGAAAATGCCTGCATTTGCATAACCAACAAAATCTTGGCGATATTTGTTAGAATAAACAAATCTAAATCAAGTATTCCTTTTGAAATATAATACTAATTGTATTCCAATTGTATTCCAATATCTCCACATTGAAATAAAACTATATCTTGCCAGCATATTGTTATACGTATGGTTCTAGCCAGATATATTAGTGCACCAATTGCACTAGACACAAAAATAAATCATGTACGCCATGATCGCTCTAATCTACATAAGGATCTGCCGAAGATTTATTTAATAAATTTCTTGGGAACCTTAATATGCTTCAGAACAATTTAAATCATTCAAGGATTTTCATTATATGCATATCAAATGTATTGTCAGACCCCCCGCAGGAGAACATGTCTCCTAATACCAGGATATTTACGAAAATTTTGTGCCACAAGTCGTCTTTATGTCTATCGACTTGATTTTTCATTTCACTTTCAGGTGTGGGGACTATCCGTCCAACTTCACATTTTTCAGGTGAAGTCAATTTCATTGCATATTTTTCATTTGGCCAATCATTTATCTGTCCAAATTCCATGACAGATTTGAGCTCGAGATCCTCGTCAATATTAATAATATTGAGCGCTATATTATATTAACAACATCGTCAACGATCATTTTACATCGGTTCCATCATCGCATAATAAAGACATAGCTTATCGAGATCTCATTATTTTCAGGTACCTGAGCCTCTCCCATGAGGTCTTATAAAATGTTATGTCATGGTGCTCTTATAAAGCACTTGCCTCCTTATTGTGACCATCTTGAACATTGCTCCTCTCCTTCTTCAAGGAGTTTTATCTTTGGAACCGATTAGTCTATTACGCTTGATGCGTGCCATAGACACTGCCTATCATGAACTTTATTCCATTTGGAGCATTAGCAGCTGAAATATGACATTTAGCTTTGGGTCAGCAAATGTGCCTGGCATAATTTTGCAAATGAATTATCACTTGAACTTCAAGTTCATATTTTCTTGTACGAGGATCTAAGTGTACTCATAATAATTCATTTCATGTATTACTTTTTTCAGCTGCTCATTTCTCCCCCGAGTGTTGGGATCACCAACACATATCCCCAACCTTCTTTAGGGACCAATCTTTGTGCATTGTGGTAGGATAATTATATCATATCGCATATCCATATTTCTATATAGAAATTATTTGGTTCCTTACCCTGAACCAATTGTGATAGGGAGAATTTATCATAACTTGTTGGCTAGCTGCGTACAAGTGATGTTGTTATTAAATAATATACCTCATACCAAATTTCGATTTGGGAGTTTTATTCTCATAACCAATGGTTTATCTTAATTGGAGGCACGCATTTTCTGCTAAACCAACTTTGATTTAAATCAGCATTATCAAAATAAATTATCATAATTTATATTCTGGAACTGTGCTCTAATAACTTGAGCAAGCAACCTTGCAAAAGCCAAACTGCAAGTTGACAACAAACGCACATGTGACCATACAATAAATACATCTTTTAAAATCATATAATAGTAAACGGTCCACATGGCAGGTGACTGGGCCCATATATATATCACCTTTTATTCGTTCCAGATTTTAAGGGATTCAATCCCAACCTTAACTGGTATACCATGAGAATAAGCAGCACAAGAGAATTCTTGAGGAATCCTTTATTTCTTCAATATATGCCAATGTGAATTCTCAATTAATTTTTGCATCATAATTGAACCAGGATGGCTAACCCGTTCATGCCAACTAATATTTGTTTCAGTAAACCTCTAGTTTACTTGTGGCATGTGATTCCATCATCATGCTTATACTTGTGTAGTACAAATAAAAGAAAAATCGGGTAACCTTTTATATTTACCCGGTATGATTATAGTAATATGAAGATATTCAATCTTCCTTTCATTGATAGTCTCAATATGCCAACCACTTTGGCTAATATATTTAAAACTCAAAAATTTCGTTTGAAACTTACTACACTATCAATGTCATGAACAATTTTATTCATCCGGGTAGTAACAAGTTAGCTCTTACGGAGCTCTTAGTTGATTTTGTACTACAATATCTTTTGTCACACCATCCATATGGTGAATGTCTCCTTCACGGAAAAAATCATATCATAATAATTGTCATGGTCAAAATCATCATAAGCAAAATTATTTCTTGCTTTACTTTTGCCTTTAATAACTTTTTATAAGGCATGTCAAATTATTTTTGGCGTACCACATGTACGCGACCAATGACATATTCATGTAATCACACACTAATATTCATTATCTCTCTTTCTCTCAAACCTCCATTAAAGGTGAGTTGTGGTGTGTATCCAATCATGCATTGCACGTCTTTATTCATTACTTTTATTACATATTGTTACATTCACCTTCAGGAATGAATCTGCATTCTCAATGCACAAGTCACATTCTCTTTAGAGAATGGAGTATAATTATCGCGACGTGCTTTATAAATTTTTCATACCAATTTGATAGTAAATATTTCCTTCACCTATTGAAGGATTACTTCGAGAACCCTTATTGTTCTCATTTTTACAATTACCATAATGATGACTATTATTATTTGATCAATGGCACGCCCATGTTCATTGGTCAACCACTTGTCTTCATTTACTTATTATGCATTGCTACCACATTCACTTCAAGAATGGTGCAAATCAAGTGGGACAAGATTCATGCTTTTCCATGAAAAATACATTATTTTTCTTTAGTCATCACTATGTCATCCATATGGTGCATTGGAACTCAAACCCAATGCCTGACCCATATAAAGACATGTTAGGCCATAATGAGTTGGGACTCGAACCCAACTTTTACAATCATGGATCATCAGGACTCAAAACCCGATGTCTTACCCTCATGGTGCGTTGGGACTTGAACCCACCGTCTTATCCTTAATTAATGGCATAATATGCCAAAGTAGACTCACCCTTGAGACTTTCATGGTATACTACTTTTAATAGTAATAAAAGTAAACTCATATATGTGTTACACAATAAGTATCTATTTACTGGTAACAAAGGAATCAAAGTTCTTCAAATCACTTTGCAAAAGCTGGCGTAGCTCCTTAATTTATGTACATCTTTGGTCTCTGGTTTAGTATGTAACATTTAGCTGCATCATTATATGCTTCTGATTCTCATATAACATCTAACCTGAACATTAGGTGAAAGAGATTAGACTAAACTTACAATAAATATTAGAAAGAAAAACATGGAGTAGAAATCAATTTACATCTAAGTATTTTTAACTTTACAAAGTAATACTTAGTATTGAAAACTTTTCCGACAAATAAAGAACCTTTGAGAAAAACTAACAAGAAAATGAATTAATTAAAAAAAAATTAGAAAACGTATCTTAGCATTATATGCCTTTTCACGATGTACTAGTCTCCTCAACCTTGTTATTCCTTTTATTATATTTCATACCATTATTTGAAATTGCTAAATGGAAAAGAAAAACTCATCTCTTCCAGAGGAATATCAGGCACAACAGACATATGCTTTTTTTGATGTAAGACAATTCTGTAGATGTTGTAACTCAATTGGATAGAGACTCGTGCTGATAACGTGTTACAAAACTTAGCTCAAAGTAATAATATAAAACAAAAAGATAGACAACAATGTAGAGAGAAAGAGAGAAGAAAATCTATTTCTTTCATGTATTCAAGTGTATTACAAAATGACTTCTCATCCTCTATTTATAGTACTACATAGAGGTATACCAAAAGAATTCCATAAATATGTCATTAAGCTTTTGAGATCATGGAGGAAGATCATGAGGGAGATCATGGAGGTATGGAAGTTACAACCATAAGTATTGAAGTAGTGAGAGTTATGGAGATAATGGATAAGAGTAGTGGGTGTTATAGGA